CCTCTTATTAAAATCAAGTCTAGTAATTCAACTCCCTTGAATTGGGGCTAAAATTAATTGTGCTTATTTCAAATTTCAGTTTTCCAGTATAACAATTTCTCAGAAATTTTTCAATTTCTCTGAAATTATTCTGATTAAAAGGAAATTTTGAATTATTTTATTTTATTTTACTTTATTTTACTATTTTATTTTATTGTTTTATTTCACTTTTACTTTACTATTTTATTTTATTTTATTTTATTTTATTTTATTTTTCTCCTCATAGGAAGCAGGCAACTTGCTAGCAGTTCAGAAACCTGGGGTGGGGGAGTCCTCATTTGGTGTCTAAAATTTTCCTACCTTTTTTAAATGGAATGTTCCCACTTTTAAGGAACAAAGAGATTAGGGGTTTGAGATTCTGAGATTCTGAATTCTTCTATAGACTCCAAATTTGTTTTAGGTTCTTTCCAGAATCAATGTTACATTCCAGTGAGTTCTTAGGGCCCATGCAATTAGAATCTACACTATTCATATTGCAGTAGACCATATCTAAGTCTCTCTTTTCCATTCTACACATAAAGGAGGTAGGTGTCAATGCGGGTGAGTGATTTGTCCATGGTCACACATCTAGCTAATGTTAATGTATTTGATTTTACTTTTCCATCTATATGGCAAAGGATCCAATTACTCTGGATATCTCTGGATAGATGTATTTCCCATAAAGAATTTCAGCAAAGCTCTTATTGTCTGTTGCAAACCTGTCTATATACTGATGCATTTTCTATAGGCAAGCATAAAATACCTTAATGATGTATATGGTTTCTTTAAGTTATGACAGATGTTCTATGATGACTCAAACTATAGAAATGTCATTCTTTTGGGAGGAGCTGATTATGAACAGTGATTTCTTCCTAATATCTTGTATTATTATTCTGTTATAGGGTGAATGTAAGAGAAAGTTTATTTTTGGATATTGTTTTGCACATAGATTAACATTTAAAGCTGTTTTTATAATTAATATATTTAGAATGTACCTTCTTTTTTAGGAATTTTAGTTTTCCTCAATATGAGCTTATCATTTTGTTATCATAGAGAAGAAGGTAATAGCTTTCTTGGTAAATAAATATTTACAGGAGGGCTTAAGAGAACAAAACCATTATACCTGAAAAATAACTTAGAAGTTATTGAAGTATATTTGTATACTTTATTTGTATTTGCATACTTTATACCTTTATTGAAGTATATTTGTACTATTTTCTCTACTTGCATGAAAAACACATTTAAAATACTGGAGAAATTGGACTTTTATTCTAAACTTAATTGTTTAACTATTATTTCATTGATAAAATTTACAATATAAACCAATGGTTCTTATGGCTTCTTTGGTTTCATGGTATTAATTTCTTTTGTATTAAGTTCAAATGAGTTTTACTTGCTAACCTATCAAGTTAGTTAAGAAAATATACAGTTTTAGTATCTATAATGTGTAATACACAGAAAAAGAAAATTAGAAAAGGTGATTCTTTCTGTACAAAGGTTTATGTTATGAGGAAAATAAACACATACAAAGAGGAGGCCTAAGTCAATATGGTCAACTGAGATGAGATATGTTCACCCTCACACAATCATAATCGTAAACTTCAGCTGGTTATAGGTGCTATTTGTAAACAAATACTACTTTCATGGGATTGCCACCCTGTTTTAAAACAAAAGGGGGTGGGGGTGCCTGGATGGCTCAGTCAGTTAAGCATCCGACTTCAGCTCAGGTCATGATCTCACATTCCATGAGTTCCAGCCCAGCTTCAGGCTCTGTGTTGACAGCTCAGAGCTTGGAGCCTGCTTTGGATTCTGTGTCTCCCTCTCTCTCTGCCCCTCCCCTGCTCATGCTCTGTCTCTCTCACTCTTAAAAATAAATACACATAATTTTTTTTAAATGAAGGAAGAAAGGAAGGAGGAATGAAAGAAAGAAAGAAGGAAAGAAGGAAGGGAGATAAAAGAAAGAAGAAAGAAGAAAAAGGAAAGGAAAGAAAAAAGGAAAGGGAAAGCAAAGGAAAGAGAAAAGGAAAGAAAAAGAAGAAAGAAAAAGGAAAAAGTCTGGCCTTAGTGAGACTCCAGCAGAATCATACATAGAACTATCCCTACAAAGTGCCTATATAACCCAAGGTCTGTAGTTCTCCAATTAAATCAATAACCACTGAGGATGAGTTCATTATTAAAACATACAAAACAATAGATGAGAAAATCACCATGACAAAAAGAGTTGATAGACAACAAAATAAGGAAGAGACTTTAGAAAATGGCCCATTAAAATAAAAAAAAGAATCAGTTAAACAAAAATAAGGTGGTCAGAAAAAAAACAAGCAAATTTGAAGAAAAAAATCAAACTGAAACTCTAGAAATGAAAAACATAGTCATAAAAAAAATGGATGGGTAAAATAGTGAACTACTTTACAGACTTAGAACTCATAAGATTTCTTCAGGAAAATTACCAGAATATAACATAGAAAGATAAGGGCTCTATTAAGACAAGCTCCAAGTTGCATTAACAATTTTTTCATGTTTATTCTGAGAGAGAGAGACACACACACAGAGTGTGATCAGGGGAAAGGCAGAGGGAGAGGGAGAGAGAGAATCCCAAGCTGGCTCTGTGTGGTCAGCATGGAGCCTGTTGCCAGGCAGGATCCCAGGATCCATGAGATCATGACCTGAGCTGAAATCAAAAGGCACTAAACCAACTGAGCCACCCAGGCACCCCTCTCCACCCAACGTGCATTTTTATAGGAGTTCTAGAAAGAGAGAATGAATGGAGGAGATGCACAATTGAAAAACACAATGGCCTAAATCATTTTATAATAGAGAAAATAAATGGACTCTCAGATTGAAAAATCACCTCTAATCCTAATCGGGGGGGGGGGGACCCAAACACATGTCCGAATATATAGTAGTAAATTTTCAGAATATCAAAGTGAAATATAATTTTTTTAATAATAAGGAGGAAACACAGAGTCCAAAAAAATGGAAAGTCCCTGACTGGCTGCAGGCTTATCATGAACAACAGAGGCCAGAAGTGTCTAAAGATATAGAGTCAAGCCAAATTCTATAATAAAAGAAGTCTTTACTGAAAGAGTGAATTTTCATACTTATAAAAACTAATAGAATGTATTACTCTCAGATCTTCTCTGAATACACCACTAAAGGGTGTCTATCAGCAAGAAGAAAATAAAAGTTAAAAAGACAGATTGGTACATGAAAGCAAGGGTAAATAAGTAACATATTTTGTAAATCTAATTTTAACTATGATTTTTAGTACTAGTATAATGATTATAATATTTTAGAACAAAATAAGTAGCTCTAAAATAATAATCAATGATGCCCTGGAGAATACAAGAATATTTGCAATATTGTCTCTGTTCAGGAGAAGAACAGAAATATTAGCTAATTTTCAATATTACTCAGTTAAGTATACATGCTAAGATCTTTATATTTAATCAAATAAATAAAATAGAAGGCACGTAAGTTTGAAACCAATGAAGGACACACACACACACACACACACACACACACACACACAGAGAAAAGAAATAGATTTAATCAAATAAAAGGTAAGAACTCTGAAAATTAATGCAAATGAAAATTTTGGTAAGTAGAAGCTACAAAATAAAATTAAATAAAAGTCTATCCTAAATAGCAATTGATATAAATGGATTAATATAATTCCTTGTATTAGAACTTACATTGATAAAAGGGATATTATATATTCTATAAATCCCTGTATCCTATAGAAGGATAGAATTTGCCTGGGTCATATTTGAGATGTGTATGTGAAATGGATACTCTAGTCAGTGTAAAATAATTTTGGAGTATCCTATATTGGCAAAATGCAAAACATATATATTGTATTGTGAGACAGGTAATAAGTACATCAGTGTATTTGGAGCAAAACTGTATGTGATGGAGATATAAACAGGATTTCCTTTCTGCAAGAATTTGCATTAGAAGACTATAATCAGTGGTGGCAATAAGCTGGAACCTGTAGCAAAGTTGACCTAAGTTTGTATACTGAATAAATGTGGAAACTTGTATACTTTCTAAAATGATCTAATCTATATATAGTCCATTCATATGGAAAATGAGGAACTTATATATATTTCACAGACATATTTTGAGTATTAAGTTAAATAATTTTTGTTCAGAGCTTAGTTTACTTTCTGGCAATTGTTAGATCATAAAAAATGTTAACACTCATTATTTTTATAATGTAGTTTCTTCTATAATGTAGTGTTGAACTCTCCATGCATTTTCCCATGGAGAGGATGGGAATGGTGTTTTCTGATGGTAGATGGAAAGGCTGGATGAGAATGAGATCGATAGATTTGTGTGTTAGGAAGTATCGAACTAGTGAATTTGATAATTTGTCTGCATTGGATTGAATCACTAGACTGAGTGTTCCACAAAGCAACCTTGTTCACTCTTGTGTCCTCAATTCACTATAATGCCATCATGTAGTAAAGGATTAATGAATATTTTTTATTACTAAGAAGTACATAAAAGAAGTCAAAAGAGTATACCCTCTAAGATGCAATAGCTGCCCTCAAAATTTGTTTAATATTAAAAGTACAGCATTTTTATAGTTAATAAATCCATCTAAATGTTACTCCAAAGAATTCACCTGTGATAAGCACTAAATACATTCATTCAGGTACTGGAAAACCACAAATTGTTTCTAAGATTGCTATATAAAATGGAAAATCTTATATAATGTTAATATATAACTATTCAGTCTCCCAGACCTCTTATTTTGGAGGCAGTGGAAATAAATATGTGCTGTTAGAGCAGTGCTCTTTAACACAAACCTTTGGGTTTCTAGGAAGTGTGTGGCCATGGATATTGTAAAGGGAACAACTGTCTAGATCTTCAACTTTTATCTGTGCTTTTCCCTGAAATTAATCTACTCCTGGCCCTCAGTTTCCTTCCCAAACTCTCCTTTCACAATAACTCATTTCCCATTTTATTATAAAAAGGATATCTGTCATCTATCAATGAGACATTGCCACAGAGGGGGAAAAAAGAAACTAAAAAAATCTCTAAAGAAGCAAACATAGAGACAAATGCAAAAGCTTGAGCCATTGAGGAGAGCCTTGCAATAATGATGTGTCTGTAACTATATTAAAGTAAGTACATCATGATGATCTATGGCCAAAATTTTGGTATGGTTATAAACATGTGCATTATGTATGTATGTATGCATGGATGCATCTACCTTTATCATCTATAATTTTCTAGCTATCTTGATATTCAGAAATGAGAGTGTAATAAATAAGTATATTAATATATTTACTTGAATTAAGAAAGTAACGTTTATTTTTTTTTAAATGTTTACTTATTTTTGAGAGAGAGAAAGAGACAGACCCGGAGTGGAAGAGGGGCAGAGACAGAGGGAGACACAGAATCCAAAGCAGGCTCCAGGCTCTGAGCTGTCAGCACAAAGCCCAACATGGGGCTCGAACCCATAAACTGTGAGATCATGACCTGAGCCAAAGTTGGACATTCAGCTGACTGAGCCACCCAAGTGCCCCAATGGAAGAGTGACTTTTCTGACAGAAATTGTCAGACTTGGCTGATTATTTTAATGACAAGTCTTGCTTTATCATTAAGTCAAACTATGCATGTTTTCAGATACTGGATGACCTAGACTGGTAGCTCAAAATACTTTCACAAGGGGAGCCTGAGTGGCTCAGTAGGTTAGCCATCTGACTTTGGCTCAGAGTATGATCTTGCAGTCCATGAGTTCGAACCCTGTGTCAGGCCTTGTGTTGACAGTTCAGATCCTGGAGCCTGCTTTGGATTCCGTGTCTCCCTCTCTCTCTGCCTCTCCCCCTGCTCTCTCTCTCTCTTTCTTTCTCAAAAATAAACATTAAGAAATTAAAAAAATATTATCACAAAATATACATAAACTATATTTGTAGTAACTGTATACTAAAAGCCAGAAATACATCCTTTGTACATATGAAGCGAATACATTTTAAAATTTTCTTTTTTTGAACGTTTATTTATTTTTGGGACAGAGAGAGACAGAGCATGAACGGGGGTGGGGCAGAGAGAGAGGGAGACACAGAATCGGAAACAGGCTCCAGGCTCTGAGCCATCAGCCCAGAGCCTGACGCGGGGCTCGAACTCAGACCGCGAGATCGTGACCTGGCTGAAGTCGGACGCTTAACCGACTGCGCCACCCAGGCGCCCCAAAGTGAATACATTTTAAATGTAGCACTCAGAGTTTGGCCAGGAAAACAGAAACCACTCCATATATTTTAAGCAAGAATGAAATTAAAGAGCAAATTAGGTGCTTACAAACCATTAAAAGGGATGGATGATGTAAAGGTCAGGAACACCTTCACCAGGTTTCAGATTCACTCATAGCTTTCAGAGAGTTAAGAAATTGCAAGAATCATAGGAAATTACAGCAGTGATTATAGTTTTCTACAGTATTAAGGATGCTGATTTGCTGGGAAATGTCTTGGGCTTACTGAAAAACCTGTGGCTACTGCAGCCCAAATCTCTGCATTAGAAACAGTAATATGACCTCTGCCCTCTTAGGCTCTCTCAGTCTTGTGCAAATGGATCTCACTGGCAGAAGGCTGGTTCCTCAGGATTCTGCTGCCAAGTACTTTAAAACAAAATGTAATTCCAAAGCTTCCAGCCTCTCCAATGGAGCAGAGAGAATAAGAGGGGGCAGAGGCAGAAATGGTGCTCATTTGCTAACAGGCAATGTGGCACAACTGTTAAATTTTGAAATGTGAGTCATGTACTTCTTTTCCAAAAACTCTTTAAAGATTAAACAAACAATAACGTTGAAGGCTAGTATTCTAGAGTGTCTTAATCAGGCTGGGCTGTGATAACGAAATACGATAGACTGGGTGGCTTAAACAACAGACATTTATTTCTCTCCAGTTTGGAGGCTGGGAAGTCCAAGGTCAAGGTGCAGGCAGATTTCAATTCCTACTGAGAACCCTCCTCCTGGCTTGTAGCTGACCACCTTCTCACTGTGTGCTCACATAGAGGAGCAACAGAGAACAGTCTGGCCTTTCTTATAAGGGCACTAAGCCCATCATGAGGGTCTTACTCTCAAGGCCTCCTCTAAACCCAATTACCTCCCAAAGACTCCACCTTCAAATACTATCACATTGGGAGGTAGGGCTTCAACATGTGAATTTTGGAGGGTCACAAATGTTCAGTCCATAACATAAGAGTATTCTCTACTTTTTTTTTGTAATGTTTATTTATTTTTGAGGCGGGGAGGTAGGGAGGGGCAGAGAGAGAGGGAGACACAGAGTCTGAAGCAGGCCCCAGGCTCTGAGCTGCCAGTACAGAGCCTGACAAGGGGCTCAGACTCATGGCTGTGAGATAATGACCTGAGCCAAAGCCGCACACTTAACCAACTGAGCCATCCAGGCACCCCAGAGTATTCTCTACTTTCATTATCTACCACACTCTGGTTTCTGCTATGTCCTCCCAAACATTATTTCAAGTTGGCCATTTCCCTTATATTTTAATATCTGGCTCCCTGACATGACCTCCTGCTAAGTCCTTTAGTATCTAAAATGTTGTCTCAAATTCACACCTACCAAAATTATGTGCATGACCCTGAGCATTTTGAGTTGCTATTGCATGTCAAGGCACAGTTTCTTATTGTTTATGTCCAGGGATTTCTGCATGGAGTTACCAATACATGATATCATACTTTCTGATGTATATATATAATTTTAATTTGAATGTTATTTTTTAAAGTAACATGTTAAAATGGACTTTTCTGGTGTATAGTCTAAGATTTTTTTTATGAGGTGAAATATACATAAAATTAGCCACTTTAAGTGTGTAATTCAGTGGCATTTAGCACAGTCAGAATAGTGTGCAACCATTTCTTGTACTTTCAGATCATTTTATCATCCCAAAAGGAAGCCCCATACCCATTAAGCAGTCGCTTCCATTCTTCTCTTTCCCAGCCCCTGGGAACTGCCAATCTATCTGCTTTCTGTCTGTATGGATTTAACTCTTCTAAATATTTCATTACATGGAATTATGGAATATATGGCATTTTATGTCTGGCTTCTTTCACTTAACATAATGTTTTCAGGTTTCATCCATATTGTAGTATGTATCAGTACATCATTTTTTCTTTATGGCTGAATATTTAATATTTGGTTACACCACATTTTGTTAATTTATTCTGTCGATGGACAATTGGGTTGTTTCAAACTCTAGCTATGGGAATAGTGCTGCTCTGAACATTCGTGTATCAGATATTGTGTTCATGTTGAGAGAACTGTCTGCTGTTTCTGAACTCCTTATAATTCTACACTGGATGCAGAAGCTGAGAAGGCCCTATCTTATAGATTTTAAAAATAAAATTTTTATAGATGAGAATAAAGCTACAAACCAGAGTCAAACCTGATAGATAATATTAGCTATAGCTTTATATCTGATTACCTTGGAATTATGAAGAAGGTGTTATTTAAGAATACTATTTTGTACAAAAACTTTTAGTAAGTTAATAAATAAGGCCAACAGTGAAAAAAATAACACTAATTGAATGCTTAACATATACAAAGTACAACACTAGATCCTTTGAGTTACTTATTCTTCACAATAAGCTATTATTCCCCGAGGTCACTGAGGTAGAGGAAATTTAAATAAAATTTAAATAACCTACTCAAATGTCACAGCTAGTGAATGATGAATTCTAAATATGAATCCAGGGAAGATGGTCCCAGAGACCAATTTCTTAAACATTGCACTTTTTTTTTCTGTTTTTCCACTAAAAGTCTCCATCTCTCCTCATTTAATCATATATTATAAAGCAGTGCTGATTTGATCTTATTTGGCTATTAGCTCTTGACTTCTTACATGGATTTCAGTCTCCTTATCTCACAAACATCAAACCCCAAATTCTCTGCAGTGGCCTAAGAGTTCCTTTATGATCTGGCCCTTGACTGTGTCATTCCCTCTTCCATTCACATATTCTGCTCCTTAGCCTTTTGTGTTCTGTTTTCTCTGCCTAGAGAGAATTTAATTTAAACCCTGTTCAACTGTCCCTTTCTCATAATGGCATTTCAAGTGGATGTTACTCAAATCACCAATCACTAATCTATCCTCTCACCTGCCTTATATTTCTTTTATAGCAATTATCACTCCCTGATTTTATAAATTTGCAATCGTATGTGTCCCCTCTGCTCCCCCATCCCCCCTAGTAAGCTTCTTCAAGGGAGGGATGGTTATTTGTTTATTTGTTTGTTTTCTTTTATTTTTTTAATATGAAATTTATTGTCAGATTGGTTTCCATACAACACCCAGTGCTCATCCCAACACGTGCCCTCCTAAATACCCCTCACCCACCCTCCCCTCCCTCCCACCCCCCATCAACCCTCAGTTTGTTCTCAGTTTTTAAGAGTCTCTTATGTTTTGGCTCCCTCCCTCTCTAACCTTTTTTTGATTGTTTGTTTTCTTTTGGCAGTGCATTTCTAGTGTCTGTTATCATGCCTGACACATGTAAGATATGCCCTAAAGATCTGATACTCTATGTCCCTCCCTCTCTCTCTCTGTCCCCTCTCTCTCTCTCCCTCTCAAAAAGAAATAAACATTAAAAAAAAAAAAAAAGATTCTACTGTGAAGCTGAGGTAGAAAGGCTTATTCTTAATTTTTTACACTTTTGAAACTTTCTCTTTGAAATTGCTTCAGAGGAGTTGTAACTTGCTACTCTGGTTCACTTAGAACTGGCTTTAAAAAATTTTTTTAATGTTTATTATTTTTGAGAGTAGGAGAGACAGAGCATGAGTGGGGGAGGGGCAGAGAGAGAGGGAGACATAGAATCCTAAGCAGGCTCCAGACTCAGCTGTCAGCACAGAGCCCCACAAGGGGCTCAAACCCATGAACGGCGATCATGACCTGAGCAGAAGTCGGATGCCTAAAAGACTGAGCCACCCAGGCGCTGGAGCTGGCTTTAAGGGTAGTACATGATCTGCTTCAGGAAGCCAGGGTTTTGAAATTGGTGCGCAAATGCACTGGTCAAGTACACACAATTGTTCTCCTCATCATTGGTTGTCTTCTCGTTTTAATTATATGAGTCTTTCTTTTGTTGGCTTTTTGTTGTTTTTATTTTATTTTATTTTATTTTATT